AAACTTGCCTCATTGGTACCAGCAGTCTTCCGTACGTTTCCCTTACAAAATAATTGTTGTTGACCAACCAGCGTTGCTGTGTAAAGTTGTGTTGCTGACCCGCCTCTTTCCGCCGCAGGGTGGAGCTCGGGAAGCAGCTCGCCAAGAAGATCGAGCCGGAGCTGAAGTACGACTCGGAGGTGACCTCCCACGACTCGTCCACCAACGGCCTCATCAACTTCCTGAAGAAGAACTTCGCCTGAACGTTGAGCCCGCGTTAGCCGACCTCATCCTCCATCCTCATTGGCTGAATGATGTTTGTCTTGTCGTATGCTGTGAGCACTTCCTGTCTGTGATCTGTGTGCTAAGAGTCTTCACGTTTAGACGAGTCCTGAAAACGTACACGTTTGTGTAGGTGACCATGCCCAGTCAACTGTGACGTTCAAAATAAAAGCCTGTTTGTCGCCAATGCTGTGTTTGGTTTCATTGTGAGGTCACAGGAAATGCTTCTGTCCAATCAGTGAGCTTGTTTAAAGGAGAAGTCGGCTTCAGCAGTCAGGTAATTACTGATTACTGATCAGGTGTGATGTTGGACTGGCCTCGCTGGACGACGGGGGGGGGTGCTGAGCTGAAGCCTCGCGCTGATGTTTGGGGCGGGACGAGGGAAATGCTGTTGGCGCTGCACAACAAGGCCGTGCTGGTGACACATGAGCAACAGGTAACGCACACCTGTAATGCTCACTGGTGCTGATTTTACACACCTGCTCTGAACTTATCATCCAATCAGAGGTCAGCAGTACCTATGCAAGTCATGGATTCTCACATCAAAGCAAATTTAAACTCTTCTGTGACAGAGCGTGGTGACTCACAGCCAAACGACCGTTTTAAACCTTTTCTGGTGGAACAAAAGCACCTGATCCCAGTTCAAACAGGTGAGTTATGACACAGCGTGTACAGGCGTTCAGTTCCTGCGTCAGCCGGCGAGCATGTTTATTTTAACATGACTCACTGCACAGCCTCTAGTGGACATCAGGGGAACTGCAGGTGTGGAAGCGATGAAGGGTGCTGAGTCTTGACTTCCTGAAGTTGAACAGTTGTTATTAAGACGTTTAAGATAAAGTAGGATGATTTTGATCTGGATCAAGCAAAGGTGCTCTTATTTTAAAGCCCTAATATTGAATGAACTCTTTAAAGCCTGCTAGGAGTTTAACGTTTGTGTGGAGCAAACATTGATTAAAAACAGCCGCATGCCTGCTCCGACCTCCGTGCACGAATGTATCGTTTGTGCTTCAGCGAGCGCCAGCCTGGACGAGCAGGAAGCGATCAGATTTCTGATGGCTGCGCTCCAACTGGCACTCAGTTTACCCTCAAGGGTTTTTTTGCACTAATAAAGTGGAGTAAAGTATTTTGTCAATTATATCATCAGTTATATCGTTATTGCAAATTTTCAAATGTATATCGTGATATTTTTGGTCATATCGCCCTGCTCTAATTACCAGGCCTCTGCAGAACTTCAACACATGCTGATGAGGCCGTTTAAATCAGCTGTGCTGGATCAGGGACATGTCTAAGACCTGCAGGACACCACCTCGAACAGACTGTAGTTAAGAGGACAGGCTGCACAGTGGGAACATGGAGCTGTCGTGTTGCTGCCATCCGATTACAAACAGGCTCGTATTCTTATTAAAGATGTTCGTTTAAGTGGAAATATCTGAATTACACATTATCCTGAGCTTTTTGATCAGGGTTGAATTTATTCTGAAATAAATAACTGAACGTTAAAACATCAATAACTCAAAGGTACAATTTTACTTTTATTTTGAAATTTTAATTTATCCAAACTTCATGTGTGACTCTGAAATTATTTTCAGTTTGAAGTTTTCTAATTATTTCCATATATTTACGTTTATATTCGTTAACACTTTACGTTTCTAAGCCGTCATCTCTAACTGGTTTCCTCTCAGTCACCTTTGGGAAAGAGGGGGCCGCCACTCGCCGCGGAGACGAGCTTCTTGCCACCTTCTCCTCCATGGCTCGGGCGGAGGAGACATCTACGCGGTGTTCTGGCCCGGATGTCACGGCGGTCAGCCGAGGATCCATCTCCCGTGGCGAATGCCGTATGTCACGCTCTGCTGGCAACCCAGCCCAGACCGTTGTACGTTCATTGACCGCCGCCATGTTCGACCCGTTTTTAAACACACCAACTGTCAGGCGGCGGAGCTTCAACACTCGAGCTTAAACGAGACACTCTGAAATAAACACATCCTCCATCTTTTATTTACAGTCTGTGTTTTACTTCTTCAGAGGTCTGAACTAACCTTCACCTCCTCATGACGAGCAAACAAGTGGAGGAGGCGTGGCTTTAAATACCCCTCAGGTGAGTCACATACAGAGTTAAAAAACAAACAGGGAATAAACATGCAGCTCTCAGGAGCTCTGAGGCTGCTCGTGTCCTCCTCGTGGAATAAAAGCAGGATGTATAACATCCACACAGCTGCTGCTCCACGCCAGCCTCACGTCTAAAAACATCTGGAGCGCGAGCGTCTTCAGTCCTGAGGCTTCACGAATGCTCTCTTCGCCACCTCGTGGTTCTCCTCGTCCGCCTCCTGCGCCACTCGCTCTCGCTTCGTTGCAAACTTCTTCTTCATGCTTCCAACTAAACTCTCGTACCTGCCGAGAAAAACAGCAGATGAGAGCCTCGCCTCAC